GACGTGTGTTCGCTCTTGTGATGTAATAAGGGGGGTGGTCTCCACACCTGTCCCTCGCTTATTTTGTTGTTTATGTATGTCCACTGATAGAATGGTTTTGCTAGAATTAGTTTTAGGCTGTGTAGATGTCCTCTCTTTGTGGAGGTTTATGATGTGCTCTTATAGAGCTATGAGGTCCTTTTTTTTTGTAGAGCTTTTAGTGTGCTCGTTCGTAGTATGCCGATGTAGTTTCCCATTTTCGGGTTTCAGTCATGCGTTTTACTCTTTGAAGGACCATGACGACTGTTTATTAGTTTTTTTATTTAAAACAATTCCTCTTTAAAAAAAAAAATAGTTTTTGACTTATTTAACAAAACATGTTGAAAAGCTCTTCTAAAATAAAAAGTTTTTTTTTTTTTTTTATGGAAATTAATAAACATGTTTATGCTCTGGTTTTATTAAAAAGCCAAGCCATCTATAACGAAGGGAGATACAGCCATGCACAGTCCAGTCAAAATCAGAATAAAAAAAGCTCTTTATTATCCAAATACTGATTAAATTTTAAATAGTAAAAACACAAGTGCTCCCAAACGGCAAAAAAAAAAAAAACATACCGCAAAAGCAGGATGACGTACACAAAAACATGGAACAAGAAATTCAGACGCTAACCAATGATTTTTCGTATTATTGTAGGGAGCTTGATTCTTACAATTGTCTATAATGTAAACTTGGAAAATGGCATCCTTATTTTAAATATGTTTCTAACGATTGCATTGAATCCTCCAATTAATGTTAATTGTGGTAAATCTGATGGATGGAAAAGGAAGAGAAAAAAAAAATGAAAAGAAATTAAGTGGTAGAGAGAAACATTTGGCATCAAAGGAGTTTAATTAAGCCCAAATAGCTTAAATAGCAGCCCAAAAGACTTCACCATGCCCACTATTCACAGGGGCCACAAGCTAGAAGCTGATAAGGGGCACTGTCTCTACTGGTCCCAAAGTACATCTATAACAGAATATCTCCAGAATATGTTAAACGTAAGACATATCTTTTGACATCTATATATAAAGGTCTCGTTCATTTCATCGATTTAAATTTTTAATTTTAAATTTTTAGAGTAAAAAGCTCTCAGAAAATGTTATATCTAACTTTTTCTGCTACAGTAAAAAGCTCTTAGAAAATGTCACATCTCAGCTCGAATTGAAAATTCGAATCCACAAAGTGAACGAGACTTAAAGTAATGCCATACAAGATAATAGTAAATCTAGCTTCTTAGAATTATATTACGTCATTGAAAGTTGCAACTACGCTTTGTTGCATTTTTTCAAATAAGTATTTATAAACGAAAGTGTTTATGTCATATGAATACAAACTCTTTTCCCATATTTGATGTTGTGATTCTTCTCACATAAAAAAACGGCAACAAGAGTTTCAAAATTACTCAAATATCATTGCCCGATAGATTTCTCTCATTGTAAGTTGCAACCACGTTTTGTTGTATTTTTTTTTTTTTTTAATAAATGATTGTGTTTCTGTCTCATATTGTACGAACTTCTTTTTCTCCGTTAAAAGCTATGATTCTTCTCATCTTAAAAAGGACAATAAGGTCCCGTTCACTTCGCTGATTCGAGTTTAGAATTTGAGTTGAGATATGACTTTATGTGTGAGCTTTTTACTGTAACAAAAAAGTTAGATGTGATTGTTTGTGAGAGCTTTTTACTGTAGAAAAACTTGAATTCTAAACTCGAATCAACGAAGTGAACAGGGCCTAAGATTTTTAAAGTCAATCAAATAATTGACTGATCGAAAGAACCAATTTGATAAGATATGCATATTACCAACTAAGCACCACATGTCCCAAATCTCAAATTTTACAACCAAAACATAATTGAACATTAATTTGTCTCTTCGACTCTACTTTAGAACACAAATGTTTCTACCCTGCCAGTTGGAATTTCGAAAACTTGTAAAAATTCCACTTTAATTTCGAATACTTGGATTAAGATATATCAGAATGTTAAAGTGGTGTGAAAATTAAAATAAAAGACAATTTAATTTAACCCTATCTTCAATCAATTTAGTGCTTTACGAGAAATATGGAAGGTTGCCAAACAAATGTTAAAGAAACCAAAACCGCATTTAGTAGTTAAAAGTAAAAACAATGATAGTGGATACCTTATACACGTTTTTGAATCATCATATTAAATAAAAATCATAGGAGATTAATAAAAATATAAAAATTTAACGAAATTTAATAAACATTCACGTTAAGTACTTTTCTACCACTGATCACACAAATCCCCTTGGTGGTGGTTATTATTATTATTATTATTATTATTATTATTATTATTATTATTTATTATTTTTTTTTCTGATTAAAACGGGGATCATAAGGTACTTCGACCTTAGACAATTCCAGGAACCACCGAAGAGTGGCAAAGGCCTATTCTCCTTTAGTTGATGGCTTAGTTTGGTAGTGCTGTAGATTTTAAAAAAATTGATTTTAGTTGTACTGAAGGAAGAAGCAGCTGTTACAAAAAGCAGCTAAGTGTTTGGTAAACTATAATTATAGTAGCTGTGTTAGTTCCAAAATCAGTGTAATAATGTTTGATAAATTATGAGATTGAATTGCTGTAGATAGTTAAAAATTACGATTATATTATATTATACTATAATATATATTACAATATAATATATATCTATTATTATATTTAATATAACACAAAAAAACTAATATAAAAAACTATTATTATATAATTATGATATAGAATATAATAATATTATTAAAATAATAACTGAAATAATTGAAAATAATGATTATATTATACTATAATATAATATATATAATAACAATATAATATATATTTATTATTATATTTAATATAATACAAAAAACTATTATTATATAATATATTATATAACTATAATATGGAATATAATAATATTATTAAAATAATAAACGATTATATTATATTATACTATAAAATAATATATATAATTACAATATAATGTATATTTATTATTATATTTAATATAATACAATAAAACTATTATTAAATAACATATTATATAATTATGATATAGAATATAATAATATTATTAAAATGGTTAATATAATTACAATATTGTAAAACATATTATAATATTACATAATATAACTTGTGTAATACACTATAATATAAATAATATTAGAATTATAAGATTATATTTATATTTATCATATTATATGATAAAATAATATGATATTATTTGTTACAATATTATTATTATATTATATTATATTATATTACGAGTCTGAAGTTTAGATTAGGAAGATTGTAAATTTTAAATTTTATTAGGAGTATTATGAGTATTATGAAAGTTTTATTAATTATACTATGTTGATTTCCGCACAATTTAAAAGCTAAAGTTGTCTTTAGGCTACTTCTGATTTTGACTGTAGATTCTTAAAAAATTCTTCAAGAAGTACTTTTGAGAAGATTTACCAAACACTAAAATCAGCTTTTGCTAAAAACATAAACTGATTTTAAAAGGAAAAAATAATACAGAGCTAAGCCTAAGTCCTCAGTAATTCAATCAGCTCATGAGCGTATTAATGGGCAAACAAATATGATTAGATAATGCCGCATTTCATATACTATTCTTCCAAAGCAACTGCACACACACACACACACTAAGCTCCTGTTCTCGGAATTACACTGTGTGATAAAGTCTCATACTTTAAGTGGAAATTTAACAAAAATATAAATATAACAAAAATCATATCAAAATTTTAAAATCTGTGTTCTAGTTTTTTTTTTTTTCGATTTTTTCTGGATTTGTGGAGTTGTATTACTTTTTGGATTTGTTGTGAATTTTTTGTGTGTAATTTTATGGATGATGTGTAACGCCTCAACCTTCATGGGTCTACCTTGTGGGATCCTGACATAGTCAGGCTTTATACTCGTTACTCATACGTATTATTTTTTCTAGGCACCTAGTGGCCCTCAAGGATTTTTTCGCGTTTCCCCAATACTTGAATCCAAGACCTCATTCCTTATAAAGTTATTAAATTTAGTGTTGGGTACCAATTGATTTAGATTCTTAAATCACTCTTAGGTGACTATTGTCGTGAATATGGCGGTTGTCTGCCGGATACTATTAGGTATATTGTTTGGATATTGTTTTTGTGGCCAGATACCAATAGGTATCTCAATTCGATACTAATATCATATTTGGATACCGATTAATATATTAAAAATATATTTAATATTTTAAATATAATGTGATGAGATAACTGTAATATTCTGTACAATAATTCTCCTGACCTATTCATTTAAGCTTAAAATCTGTGGCATGCTGTTCCCTTTAAAGCCATGTGTATGTATGTGCCCAAAGCCCATAAGAAAATAATGAACAGAAATCCAATACCACTGGCCACTGGCCACTGGCCTTCCACTAAAAACCATGAACCCAAAAAGTGATTCCTCTCTGCAACACCAGATTCAATAGATCTCAGCCCTTCATCTAGGCCACGTGTTCAAATCCCACGAACATTTCAATTCATGTTACCCATGGTTTTTGGGGGACAGCTTTGTCCTAAACCGGTGGATTCTGTAAATCTCCATAAGAAAAGAGTCTTTCAAAAAGATATTTATTTGATAAGAAATCTCAACTCAAGATAAAAGTCACTTTCGCTCTAATTTCATGGATTCTTGTGTCAGTTCAGAAAAAATTAGTGGATTACGTGACCAAATCTTAGGCCTTAATCACATGCGCTAGACTGACAAGTTAGTAGTCGAAGTTACCTTTTCACCCTTAACAAACTTGAAATGTCCCCTAATAACACAAGGACATTTTGGGAACAAAACCTGATCAAGAATCAACCGGCAACCGACAATAACAGAAACCTTAGTGAAAACAAGTGTCCGAGGCACTAGAATTGGAAGTAAACCATCAAACTCTGAGAAAGACTACCTGACCCTTTGATTCACCAACTCTCACCTAAAAAAATTGGTTATAAATAACCCACCAAATCCCACAACTTCAATTCATCCAGACACTTCAAAATATCTTTTCTTTTCGAAGAGTAGCTTAGTTTTGATCAGTTGTTTATTTCTTCAGATATTATTTCTACATCTTTTTATTGTTTTACTTTATAGAAATATGGCAAAGAATGCAGCTCAGTCACCCCTTGAAAAGAGCAGCTTGGCTGCTCTTGACCAGAAGCTGGCCATGGCTCAACGCTGCGCCCAAGGTTTTTTTTTTTTTTTTTTGGGAAACTAATTAAGTTGCATAATTTCTGCTATTGGTTATGGACAGTTTTTGTTTCTTTAGTATTTTCAAGCTTAGTCTATTATATATTTAGTATAAAAGTGACCTATTATATTTTATCATGTGGGTTCATGATTTTAAGCATCATTTGGTTCCTAGAAAATTTATCTTTGCATTGGTTGAATCTCAAAGAAAAAATACCATGCCTGTAAATAAAATTATGTGATTAAGGTTTGGTGTTATATACTTTATTTCCCTTTTAGCAAGTTTGGTTGTTTTGCATGAAATCATTAAAATGGTTAACAACTTTGGCTGAAACTGCTTTATGGCCACAATGAATAAAGCTTAGTATTTTTAGATGATATGATAATTTACATTTTACCATTTTTCTCTAAGATTTTTTTTTTTTTTTTTAAACAAAAACAGAAGGTGTGAAAGCAGGAGCCAAGGCAGCTGTTGTTGCTAGCATTGCAACTGCGATTCCAACGGTAAGTCTTCAACCTCAAAACCTTTATATACCTCATTTACTATAACATCTTTGAGTTTTCAAAACCTTTCTTCTTATCTTGTAAAAAAAAAACTCAGGAAGAGTTCCCCAAAAAAGAACCAATAAATAAATAAATAACGAAGAGTTGTGTTTTTTTTTTTTTTTTTCTCTGTCTGTTTGTTTTTTTTTGTGATAGCTAAAAGAAATGACAAAAAGATACTATATACTTTAAAAACGTCATTTACTATAACGTCTTTGGATTTTTAACACCTTTCTTTTTATCTTGTACAAAAACGTAATGGCGAGTTTTTTTTTTTTTTTTTAAATAATTTTTTTATGTTAACTAAAATAATGGCGTAAAGGAATTAAAATATTTCAACAAGAAGTTTATCATTGAACTCTTCCGAGCTTACAATCAACACAATTTGGTTGCAGTTTGCTAGTGTGAGGTTGCTGCCATGGGCAAAAGCCCATCTCAATCACACTGCTCAAGCCCTCATAATCTCCACAGGTTACAATCTTCATCCTCATTTTTTGTAAAGATTTATTTTGTTTCTCTTTTAAATGCATATATATACATACATACGTATATATATATATATGTATACTTATCATATATATATATGGTGTATAAGAGATTTTAATGATCTGATGGCAGTGGCTGGAGCGGCATATTTCATAGTGGCTGACAAGACTGTCCTGGCTACAGCTAGAAAGAACTCCTTCAAGCAAGCCTCTAACAACATTGAAGGATGATTCAAATTTCCATCACTAGTTTCAAAGTCTGGTTGTTCCCCAATGGTCTAAGTAAACATTTATTATGTAATTCCATCTCCTTATAAATAAATAAATATGGGTTTCCTTAGATCATGAGAACATCTAGCTATTACCTATTGGGCCCTACCCCAGATTTGATATTATGTTCCATCTCAATCCAACTCCTTTTGCATGTGAGGAACATAGTATTCAAAGTTCCATCATAGGAACGCCCAAAATATGGGCTTTTTCTTTATAAAATGATGAGAACATAAATATATACAAGAGTTGGTTAATATTTCCATATAAATATATACAAGAGTTGGTCAATGTTTCCATATTCTGCACTTTACAACTGATCTATATTACAATAATAGTCCCAACTTTTTAATACCAACTGATATAAGAGTAATCATCGTTCACCAGTCAACAAAAATTAAAAAAAAAATAAAATTGAATCTACCAATTGAAAGATGACAAACAATTGACACGCAGTTTGGGATCCTAGGAACCACTTGTATCACCAATAGTCGTTGCATGAACAAGAACCATTCTTGAAGTGGTGAAACCGGTTTCGATCTCTGGCTATGATTTCCCTATTGAAGATCTTGGATATCAACTTTGTAGCTGAATGGCAATTCCCACATACACGAAGATTCTTTACAATTCTAATTGTTGTCCCTGGCTTTGTACTGATCAAACCAAAAGCAATGGCCAACTTCTCACTATGATGACTCAAGGAACCTTCTTTTAAATCTTCATCCATGTCATAAAGAACCTCAGATGTATCTGGCACAAACCCAGAAATATCCAAAAGCCTATCGATCTCATTCAACATTTTGTAAATATCTTCGCTTAGTGGATGTACTTTATCACCTACAAGAAACTCATGAACCACATTATCCACCTCAATAGAGGTACATCCAGGAACTTTCTTCATTCCTTTATCATGTAGCTTGGTTCTTATCCTTGCTACATCATCCCATCTACTAGCTCCTGCATAGATGTTTGACAACAGAACATAAGGACCGGGATTTCCGGGTTCTAATTCGGAAAGACGCTCCGCAACAAATTCACCCAATTCAACACGCCTGTGGGCTCTACAAGCTCCAAGCAGAGAACCCCAGATAGCACCATCCGGCTTCATCTCCATATTCTTTATTAGGCTCTCTGCTTCGTCGAACAACCCAGCTCGACCTAGAAGATCGATCATGATACCGTAGTGTTGCAGTTTCGGGGAGACATTGTAATCTTGAACCATTGAGCTAAAATATTGGCGTCCGATACCTAACAGACCAGCATAATTGCAAGCAGATAAAACAGCAACAAAGGAAATATCATCCGGCTTAAAACCCTCGTCGGTCATTTTTGAGAAAAGCTCAAAAGCCAAACTCGCATGACCGTGTACCGCTAACCCGGATATCATTGCATTCCAAGAAGCCAAGCTTCTTATTTCCATGCCATCAAAGACTTGCTTCGCGGCGTCTATGTTTCCAGATTTTGCATACATGTCAATGAGACTTGTCCAAAGGGAATTATTGGTAAAAGTATGAAACTTCTTGTCAATATAAGCGTGAATCCACTTGCCAAGGTCAAGTGCACCCAAGTGAGCACAAGCGGGAAGAACTGCCAATAAAGTCACATCATTGGGCTCTACATCAGATCTGAGCATTAACCGGAACAATGCCAAGGCTTCTTTGTAGTCACTCATATGAGTATATCCACCTATCATGATATTCCATGACACAACATTCCTTTCCCTTAGACCATCAAATAAGTCTCGAGCCGTATCTAAATTCCCACACTTTGAGTACATATCAACAAGTGCATTTACAATGCGAAGACTTGAACCAAGTCCACGGTCCCCAATCCAAGACCGAACCCAATTGCCCGATTCTAGATTTCCTGACTGAGCACAAGCAGAAAGTATAACCACAAAACTACTTTCATTTGGCTTCACATTTGCCTTCACCATCTCCTTAAAGAAAGCCAATGCCTCATCAAACTGAGCACTTTGAGTATACCCCGAGATGATCGCATTCCAAGCCACAACATCTCTGGTCGGCATTTCATCAAAAATGCCCCGAGCCTCCTCCATCCTACCCCTCAAGGCATAGCCGGTGATTAAGGCTGTGAAAGAAACCGCGTTTCTAACAGGACTCTTATCGAACACCAAGCGTGCGTTATCCAACATACCATTTTGCGCATACATGTTTATAAGAGACGTGCTTATGAAAACATCAGCGTCAAGTCCAAGCCTCAAGATTTGGGCATGGAGCTGTTTCCCTTCATGTGCAGCCCCGAATTTCGTACAACACTTCAAAATAACAGGAAAAGTATGAGAATTCGGTTCAACACCAGAAACGACCATTCGGACATAGAAATCAATAGCTTTTGCGGGGTCGGATCTCAAAGAATGGCCGCGAAGGACGGTGTTCCAGATGAAACGATTGGGTTCTTCGATGGTGTCGAGAATGGCGAGTGCGTAAGAGAGGTCGCCGAAGGGAGAAAGGGAGCAGAACTCGACGAGCTTGCTGAGCGCGAACTGGGTTTTGTGGAGGCCGGTTTTGATGATGTGGGTGTGGATTTGTTTGAGAGTTTGCAAGCTTTTGCATTTGGAGAGAAGGTTCAGAGATGGATGGCTTTGAAGGAGCTTGTATGGAGGGTCGGAAGAGGGTGGGACGTGGAAAGTGGAAGGTAAAATGGGAAGTGGAGATGGGGGAGAAAACGCCATTTTCGTCTTATATTGGATGATGCCAACGGCCAAAAGTTGGAAGTCACTCTTCAAAAAACGGTTTGGGAACTAGAGCTTCCTTAAAAAAATGTGTAAAAAAATAAAAAAACCTAAAATTTTAGCTAAATACCGCGTTCGTCCTTACATTTGTAAACTAATATATTTTTTATCCCTGATATTTTTTGAGAGAATTTTCACCATATTTATGTATTTATAATAATAGACGTGATTTTCTCACATTTAATTTTTTTTATGTGTCTCACCTAAATTTTTTTTACGAGTCTCACCTATCTGAGTTGGTTATTGACGGTGTGTGTGCTTTTATGTTAGATTTATTTTTAGGTTGTGTTGTTTGCGTTCTCAATATTCGGGGTTAGTTTTGGTCGACTAGTTTTATCTATCGACTGTAGTGATTCTTTGTAACGGGCTTTGGTCACACTTGATTTTATTGAGCCGAGCGAGTCTTTCCTCGTCGAGTCTCAACAGTGTTGGCCTCAGTGCTTCATCCGTTTTCAATGGTGGATCCAGTTAATGTGCAGGGTCGAATTCCCTTGACCCTTGTAAACATTAGTGGCTATTTACGACTATTATTAAGTATGTAATTTGTTAACTTTGAAATGAAATTTTCCCCTAAAAAAATAATTTTTTACTTATTTAAAGTTTTTGAATGTCAACCTCCAGAACAATCAATATATCTTTTACCATTAATTATTTAAAAACCGTACAAGATAAATTAAGAAAAAAAAACAAAAAAAAAAGGGTCACTTTCTTTTCAACCAGTCAAATAACTTATCGCCATTGTAAAAGCTAGCTAAAAGGGAGGGTAACGATGGAATGGACGGCGCAGTATATGCTGAGGGGTGGACGATGATGGCGCATCATCTAGCGTTGGGGAATAAATAACTAACGTATGCGGACAACGGTGGCGCAACAATCATCATGGTGATCCATAGGACAAATCCAAATTCGACCAGTTATGTGTCTATTGCATGGGTTGGGAAATCAAGCATCTGGCCCATCCATATCAAACTGAAGATATAATGATTCAGGTGACGTTTGATTAATGAGTTTAAAATTATGATTTATAATTATGATTTTTTAAATTTAAATTTTTTATGAGAGAAAAATATTGTAACAGAATTAAGTATGATTTTAAATCAAACAAAACCCTTAAAACAAACAGAATTCTTAAAATAAACGTTACCTTAGTTTCTCAAACTGTTACTTAGCATGAGTAAACCTTACCAATTCATTAACCAATTTACAAGTAAACTTGATTACCAAAACTTCGGTTCTCGAAAACGCTTTCACTTGCTCTTATTCTTTTTCCCACTAATACTTAGGCAACTTCGTTCATGCAACATATACTGAACACAAACTAGTTATAGTAATTATATTACATGCAAGTTATAATTACTTTTGTATGAAAATTTAAGCATAATAAAATAAGTCTGCATCCATAATATTTTAAATGTAATTTGAATGTGTTTAATACTTCAAAGTATTTTTGGAAGTGTGTAGAAATTTTTTCTGCAAGGTGGCATCCGTACCCCTCCTCCACGGCAAATGTGAGCAGCCCATCCATCAACATTATTGGGTTGCAGGCGTCTTATTACAATGTGAACAAATTTTGAATTAAGAATAAAATCTGAAGAGATAAAGTGTTGAAAACTGTCATTATAATTTTGTAACAAATTTTATAAAACTTTATTATAAATGACATTAAAGATATGTAATATAGAATTATGAACACATTAAAAAACTTCATCTCAATTATAATTAAAACGAAAAAGTTATGACATTTTTAAGTCTCGTTCGTTCCGTTAATTTGAATCACAACTTAAATTTTTGCTACAGTGTTTACTTTCACAAAAATTCAAATTCAACCTTTTTCTGCTACAATGTTTTATCTAACATGAATTTACTTTTAATTCAAGTTATAAACTCGAACAAGCTAAACAAACGAGCCTTAATCTTGAAGTTGAGGAGAGAGAAAAAGTAAAATCCTAATTACTTTCATCATAAAAAACAATTCGGATTGTGTGAATTTAGATTGTTAATGGTTTGAATTGTTCTAATTTAATTTTCTACTAAACATCAATTTGAATCCTAAACTATGGTTTGAATTGAATTGTTGAAACAAATAGCGGCTTAATGAGCGAAAGCTCAACAAGTACAATTACGAAAGTATGTTCTATTATGGTGGGCTCTTGTACTCGTACCAGTTGCGTGTGACCAATAAGGCATTAGGGGAGTGACCTAAACATTTAGTCCGATACACTTAAGGTCATAATCTTTATCTTTTCATGGTTCTCCTAAGTGGTCCGAAGATTATTACCTCCCATTTAGCTGAAAGTTAGTACGGCACTTAATTTTATTTCCTTTACCTTAACCTCTTATTAAAAGTGAACACACAATATTAAGATTGTGACGACCCTCCTATGAGGCCGCCACTGTAACTTAAACTTTAACTTGTACTTACTGGGGTTTCTTAAAATTTGCGGAACATTTTTTTTTTTTTTAATATAAGAAAGAATACTTTCATAATTTGTAACAATAATTTCAAATAAGTGAATCACTAAATTTCTTAAAGCTTTTCTTAATTTCAGTTAAGATAAAACGTTCTAAAAATATCTTTCAAACAGAGCAGCATTTGAACTCCTATTTCAAATACTCTTTAAAAGCCTTTCTAAAACTAGCCAATTCAATCGGGCCATTTAATTTTGACTTTAAAACGGATTTCGTGAGAAATCTTAAATTCAAGTACATCTTAAAGCCCTTTTAAAATCAATCATTTAAATCGTCATGTTTAAAATTTATTTATTTGTTGCATGCTCTGTTACAACGTTCTAAAACTTAAATACTCAAAACGAGGATTGTTAGCTACAACCTCAGTTTCCTTAACATACATATGATTGATCTCGAAACTATTTTTAACTTGACATCGACTTAGACTATACATTTCTATCCTTGATTCGGCTGAGACTCCATTATTAGATCTATCTGATCTTGGTCCTGGGTTATCGTAATATCCTTTGGATACAACTGTGTGAAAACTCTCTAACTGTGAGTGTGATGTACTACTTTCATATAATTTGGATTTGAATGTTCATCCTTGTAGTTTCTGGGGGTACTACGTAGTACAAATGTAATACTACATATTGAATCATGGGATTATTCCATAATTCTATAATTCTACACTCATAATAATACTTAAATCTTAGAATATTCTTGGTTATTACTAATCGAGTGCTTACTTATTGGTTCATCAATTTGACCGAACCGTTAAGAACGTGATGACTTATCTGAAGTCAAACTAGTTATTTGAAACTTTGCACTCTCATAGCCAATATTCTCAGTTACTATCTGACATGGTGTACCGTTAAGTCATTTATTTCATGTCCCACGATACTCTTAAACATACTCAGATATACTTACTAGGTTTTTTCATAGTATATCTTGTCATACTGATATTTTACACGTCCTTCTAATATGAGCACGTGTACTTAAAGGTTTTAAACCTGCAGAATTCACGGCTTATTTATGGAAAATGTCCATGAATAAGTAAACTTATTTCTTTACTA